AGCTTTCAAATTACCTCGTGCCTGTCTAATTTCCTTCCCGGCCGCACAAAAAGAAACATTTATTACGGCCTCAAACATCTATTAAGGCGTATGTTCCACAGTTTCGGCCACCAACCGCGACTTAATGAGGCGCTAAGAGCCGAAAGCACAGAGGGCGACCCGTTCTGAATCGGTGGCCGGGGCTCGACGGGGTCAGCTCGTAAATCGAATGCGGATCGACCTTATAGCGGACCTTCCTCGCCGGATATGCTCCTCGATCCTTCAATATTATTTATTATTTCTTGGCGTTTAGCGATACGTCGGACCGCACGTGTCTGGTTTTATTTTTCCGGAGCAAATAAACCCGGATTAATAATGCCTAATAAATGCAGCGAGGAAAGTATGCTCGCAATGCGAAGAGTGTTCTACAGATCCGACGTAAGTGCGGGTGCGTGTCATGTTTGAAGGGGTGTCGGGTACCGTGAAGTTGTGAAGTTACATTTCCTGTCGTTAAAGAGAGGTGGAGGTATCACGTTGGCGGTTTTAATAGTGAACTGAAACGGAGAATAAACTAATTATAATTAGTTTACAGGAAATTTCTGGCTTTTAAGGCAAACCTAAACCCTGCATGTATACTAAGCATAAACAAAAGGGGGAGATTGTAAATATGTGTACTACAAAGAGTTCAAATGTTATAAGTCACATTATACGACTAATTATTGTAGTTAATTACAATTATGAGAGGTGAAATCGATTAGAACGTAAGCGGAATTCTATAAACCCGTCCCTGGCGAATGAAACGAAAACATTGGTTACACAGCTCCTGTAACGACATTGAATCTTTTAGGTAACGTCTCTAGGGCGTCTAGTGGAATATTGCGGTTCAGAGAACCCCTATTATTCCAACACCCCTAACACTCTTGTTATTACTTTTTTTGCGACACCGCCGAAAGGACGACCGGATCTAGTTTGCTGTGTGAATACATTCCTCCCGGACTTAATTACTTTTGTTTTATTGCGGATACAGCACGTACTGTATGGACTTTAAAGTTCAAGAGACAAGAAGAGTTGGGAGACACAAAGGAAAAGTTGGCGAACGGATTGAGAGGTCTCTATTTATTTAGTTTCGCGTTCTCTTGATTTTAGTCTGATCACTAATTACTCGACTCTAGAGTATATGAATTAATGAAAAGCAATGAAGTCTAATAAGCATTAATTTTATATGTATACAGAGGATTACCTAATGAGTGCATTTAGTAAACTTCCAATGTATATACAGGGTTTTCAACGGTATAGCCGGGCATTAAAAGTTTTTAGAGTTTCTGAAGAGTTACGAATCTGAAAATTTAGGAGTAAGGTGTATTCAATATTGTGAGTTTTTCTTAAATATTTTTAACCATGTGTGAATTCCGGTTATACCGGAAGTAGATGTCAACTTCGTTATTTCAAATGGAAAGTACCATTTTTGACTTCATTTTTGGATTCTGTGGCCTTTTTAACATTGATAATAGCACCATGTGTCAAAAATGTACCATTTTTAAGTTATTTATATATATTAATAATATTTCCGTGAATTCATTAACACCCTGTATTGGTACATTTTTTGTATTGTACCTACTTACTCCCTTGTTAGGGTTAATATGTCTCAGGTAGTAGGGTTAGCACATAAGTGCCCTTATGAAAGCAGGAATTTTTCAAAAAGATTGTACGTTGCGAGTTATGAGTGGACTGAGTTACACTAGAGGAGACGAAATTTTAAGGTCATTGACAAGGAAAGTATACCTACACCAACATTAGAATATGCAAAGTGTGAGTCTGTTTTGTTACTATTTTTAGGGGTAGATTGCATGCATTCACATGGTATCACCGGTATATCGGAAAACCATAAAATACGTATAGTGCGAAAATGTTAGAAATTCAATCATTTAAGGTTTGAAAATAGATGTTCAACCGTTACGACCAGTACGGCATTTATCGGAACACGTAATTAAACTTTAAACCGAAACGAGCATTATTCGAAATCAAACCGCACAAATTAGCCCCAAAAACCTCAATTACGTATCATCCACCTCTTTTGAGGGCTCCCGGTTGCACGATCGAAATTCATTTTAAGTGGTAGTTAAAAGCCTATCGCTGCCCGCAAAAACACAATATATTTCATCTATGATCGTGTTTGACGTTTGAATGGCGATTGGGCCGGTCCTGAGCCGCTCTAAATTGCCGTACATTTATGCGATATGGAATACTTTGACAATAGCCCCCGTTCACAATGCGGTAGCATTGTTTTCCTTTTTTTTCTTTCTTTTTCGCTTTATGCAGCGGCCATCCTTCGCTTGCGTTTTGTCCAGGAAAATTTGTGTAGTGGTGTTAGGCTTTGTGGGTGGAGGCCATATTATTTTGATGATGCTATAGATTACTGTAGGAATTATATTTTACAATGAACGAAGTTTATGAAAACAATGCTGATAAAAATCGAGAGAACAATTAAACCGATTCTACTACATTAGATAATGTAATCAAAGCGATTTTTGTTAAAGGTATAAAATTTACACTCAACTCCAAATTCAATGAGTTTGCTCGCTGCTCAACACTAATCGTGTTAACCTCTTCCTAGCAATTTACTTGTTATCTAGGCACGCGATCGCGTTAGCATGTCTACCACCCGTGCCCGTTAAGCTATTGATATATCATTATAACGTGTATAAGGGGTAATACATAAAAGTGTCATGTCGTGTGCGATACGAATCTACTTCGGTCTGTTTTTCCCTTGGGTAATTTTTAATTTTTTTTCTATGCATTGTGAATTAAATAAAGCGAGATTATCGAGATAGCACTTCCCTACACGTAACTCGAAATATTTTAGGTAGTATCTTGAATAATTACAATTAATGAAGGTATAAATAAATATTAAAAACGGAAGGTAATTAATTATTTCGTTCACATTATGAGACATCAACGCAGCTACAATAATATTGTTTTTAACAAAAAATCCCATTTATTATCCTGCAGACGGAATTTAAAAGGCGATGATAGAATGGCACAACAGTGAGATAAAGAGACAGTTTTCAATGCAGCGACTGCTGGATGCAAATTAACCATTCGCTGGCACAAGCTCCAGTAATTAATCTAAGTAAGGATTACTGCAGACTAAGCTTGTCGTTGTATTATTATTGCTTAAAGTAGGAATTATCGATTAGCGGAGCCTTTTACAACGTGAAAATCTTCGGCGTTTAAATGATGAACAAAGATGAAGGAACTTCTTGCAAGAACGTTTTCAATTCCGAATTTAATGAATAAATACCAGTGCAATTTCAAAGATATTGGATGGGCTTTTTATTGGGGTCAAAAACCAGTAGCAACTTAAAACCGCCGTTATTGTTTCCATGTATTTTCTATTAAGCTTCGCTTCCGATGGAACGAACGGAAATATCGACGAAAATAAATACAAACAACGTCATACCCTGATTGCGACTATAAATCATTAAAATGTTTACGTTGCGTTTTGTATGCCAAAGACATACGAACGAAATTCGAAGCAGCAGGGGATACGTACATCGTATATAGCGGGGGGTTTAATGAAACGAGTAATTTCTTCTGCATTATTTGACACGATTCAATTGATTCAATATAGCAGAATTTTTGTTATTTAAACACCTTCAATATTGGACGTTGTCAAGGTAATACCGCTGCAGAATTTCAATTTTAAGCTTTCTTCGCATGAACACGAATAACTTTTTCAATGATTTGTTTCAAAAAATACTTATCCTGTTTTCGAAAGTGGCACTTTTACCAGACAAAGTTTCAATGTGGGTAATTTTTTATTCGTCGTAAATGCGAGTACTAACAGTATTTCTGAGAGTCGTGAAATCGAAAGAGTTGCTTAGAGGATGTATGTATGTGCGACTCTTTGCTTTGGCAAGATGCCGAGACACAAATCGAGTGGTTTCTCTGCGATCTGTTCGAATTTACGGCCATCTTGGGCCGAATGTTTGTTTATGTATTATTTTCGAAACCAATTCCCTGTAAAATACAAAGAAGCATTCGGAAATTACTCACTAGCACTAGCGGATGTTTACTTTTCAAATTTCAAGAAATGTGCATTTTCTTATACCCAATCCTCTTATTCGCCTTAGATAATGGAATTATTTACAAACCTGACGATGATCAAGATTGATCTAAACCTTTTCACTTGAATTCAATGAATTTATCATAGTAACCGGTATGTACATACCAGTTACAATGAAAAGTTGCTAACAATTTTAGTTCTAAATATAAGTACAGACTAAAATTAGTTAAATTCGATCCTGTGTTCACCTCTTCCTCACACTCACCATAGTTCCAAGTGTTAAATAACTGAGCCACATCTAGCTGCAGCTGGACCAAACAATTGTCACAACAAAAGGAGACTTGGGGCGAATATCTCGACTCGAATAGAGACGAAGGGCTCTGAAAGTGAGGTTTACAACTGTAATCAGCAGAAGCACGGCTAGGCGTTTTAATTACTGAGATGACACAGAGGCGTGCACGGTACATAAGTTGCAATGCATACCGAATCGTTCGCGGTTTGTGGGTGCTGTACGGCTGGAAGATATTGCGCAACAGGAATGAATTTAACTTAGTTTAAAAGATGCCATCTGTTCGGTGTTTCGGATGAGTTCGTTTGTTAGGTAAAATAGTTTCAACAATTAACCGATAGAAATAAAATTGTAGGTTCAAGTACGCCACTGGTAGGCTGCAAATAAGTTAAAGAGGTGAAACGCCTTTTTCTTTTTACATAAAACTGAAAAACACAATAGCAGTTTTAATTAAAGGAATTCGGGAAATAGAGATCGCGAGCACTTGACATTTGTGTGCAGGGTCGCAAAGTGATAAGGAATCCAATGGAATGATGACATAATGAAAAAAGTTTTCGAATTGTCTTTCCATTTTCGTTGAGATACGCTTCATAAAATAAATTCCTTCCCCGTTTATAGTTATTGAACAAGTCTGCTTATCTAACAATTTTAATTTTCTGTTTTCAGTAACCTCGACCTTCGACATCGAGGCCGTCCAAGGTGGAGTGGCGAAATTACCATGCGATATCGAACCCTCCATTCCCGGCGATAAAATGCACATCGTCATCTGGTTCAAAGATGGAGAAAATCGGAAAACACCCATTTATTCGTAAGTACAACCCTGGGTTTGACATGGGCGTGCACTTTGTTCAGTGTAATGTCTGCTGCATGATAATTTTACAAGGGAAATCATCTGGTTTTGATCGAGGAGGAGGGAGGGTGTCCTTTTGTTCGATATGGGAAGAACAGTATTTGAAAAGAACACTTATGGTTAATCGCAAAAGGCGCAACGTTTTTAATTTAATTTTGATAGAGATTAAGTAGGTAATATGTTACATATTGAAAGTTTCTGAACTAAAACCATTTATATAAATTTTTATAAGTATCCAATATCGCTTCGGCGTAAGCACACCCGAATGATATAGCCTTATGAATTTTAAAAGTTACCTGATAGTCTTATAAATTTTCATATCCGTGGATACTTCTTACATTTTATAATATTTTATGGGCGATAAAGTACTTATATTTAATTCATAACAATTGCTAGCTGATTGGTAATGATGTTCTTTATTACCCTAAACAAACAAAAAATATGAATATTTGGTAAAATAAAGCAACAATTCCTGTTTAACTTATTTTATTCAAAAAGTAATCATTGAAATAAACATTAATGATAGAAATTGATTATTAAGAAACGAACAACGCAGTACCGACAACGAATATTGCCTCTAATCGAATAAACCTGTTAAATTATTCAAACATAAATTCCTATTGAAATATAAGATACATAAAAATTGTTTCATTGTTGTTAGTAAATAGATTTAACCCTAATATCAGGCAAATTACTGGTTACATACAAGTTATATTACAGTATCCTCGGGAAGCAATATGTATGCCCAATGCATACTTATTAACTAAGCAATTAATATTAACGCGTTCCACTTAACAGTATGTAACGAGTGATATTTACCTCCTATTATTGACCCATCACTTGATCTATACTCATCAAGGTGTATAGCTATTCAAGTTCTGTGCCTAAACCGCATTATCGGCTACTGTTTTACTTGATGCACGGCATATAGGGCACTGAAATAGATTCAAATACTTGATGAGAATCAATACGTTCGAGACATCGAATGTCGACGACATTGAAACAGTAACCACATTCCAACAATAATTTTAGGCTATTAAGCAGTAAGTGCAAATAACATTGCTCAATTATTAATTATGGTTTTCATTCCAGATTTGATTCAAGAGACAAAACGCTAGAACAAGGGCGACATTGGGCCGATGAAAGTGTCCTCGGAGGACGAGGGTACTTTCGCTATCAGGATAATCCCGCTAAATTAACTTTAGAAACTGTTAAAGAAAATGACGGCGGAATTTACCATTGCAGAGTAGATTTCAAGCAAACGCCAACTAGAAACGTCAAAGTTAATCTTACAATCATAAGTAAGTACCAAATGGTGTAGCATTAGTGTTATTTTACGTATTTTCCAATGATACTTCATTCCTATGTTTAGATTTCTAAGTTTGAAATTAAAAACTTCATGGCGTACTAGAATTGCCTTTATTATTCAATTTCAACTTTTTCTCTTCGTTTGCAAAGTCGAGCGTTGTATATTTGCTAGAGTCAGAACCGGCCTTATTTTATTCTGAAATACAAACCTACAAGATAAATATTTTGCATTTTCAATTTACACAAGTGCAATTCGTTCCATTTAAGCTTGGCAGACGAGAAATTTGTAAGTAATGTATAAAATTGGAAGAAATGTATTTTTGTACATTCATGCCTGACCTGTGGTTAAAACAAATGTCTCTTTGCCTACCTGTCACATTGAGTAAAATAAACTTTCCGGGCAAAACCGAAATTCAGGCACCACAGATTTAAAAAGTTTAATGGAACGCTAACTTGAAATTTAATTTATAGTTTCTAGACCGTCTCTACTTGACGTGCTCTTATAAAGACGTAAGCTTTGTAAGTAGATTAAATTTGTTTACAGTTCTCCATTCGCATTGCATGCATATGCAATTTGCCTGGTTGACGCCTCTGCGTCTATCAGAATTCCATGTAAGTTGTCAGCTTACTTTAGCAAACATTTTCATCACAGTATGTAAATTTTCCTGTGCGTAACAAATGAGTATTGCTGGGCTGTAATGAGGATGTGTACAAAATTAATGACAAAAGTAAACGGGTAGCATCCACTGTGAAAGCTCGACGTGCACACATCGTGTGCTTATTCTTGCCACAGTTGGTTAATTTTTTCCTTTCACATGTGTACGGCTTGTTTCAAAATGTGTTTCAAATTTCAAAAAGTGAGCGTGACAATTTTTAATAGACAACAAAATTCGCTTGACAAAAAAGAGTCACAGAAAATTTAGAGTTCTCCGTTTAACGGGAAATTTTGTATCAGTGTCTTGTCCTTTAATTTTTACTTTTTCCGTCCGCCGACTGTCGAGTTAGAAGAGAAGTCCCCGGAGAGGATCTCCATATAAAGGAAACTTTGAGGAGGGTGGCAATACCTTTGGGAATTTCTACTTGTGATCGTTTCAAGAGTTGTTGGTGTGCTATCGATTGAGGAACTAACTCGACATTTCATTGATCAATTGGAATACTTTTGGGGATATCTAAACTAACAGCAATTATAGGTATAGTATACTTAGGCGTGAACGTCGGTGTCATCACGGTCGATTAAGTAATTCATTTCGTTTTTAAATTGGTTATAATGTTAAAGAAGTGTTCCTTTAATTAATATTAGTTACATAAAAGCGTTTTTAAAAACATACTTGTACCTAATTGCATTAGATTATATGCTAATTCCAATATTACTATTTCATACAAATTCAAATCCCCATTGCAGAGAATGGTCTCTTGCCAAAAGGCAGATTTTATACGAATAAATTCATGTTGGTCTAGTTGTAACCGGACAAAGTAAATCAAATTAAATTTATTACAAATTTAAACCGGACAAAATTACAATTTACGTTACTGGACGTTTTTGGTAAAAAAATCGGCAAATTCGGTAAAAAAGAAATTGCTTTAGGTATTTATAATAGAATTTTATTGGCAATTTTTTTGAAATTGATATTTGGGGAATAAACAAAAGCACAAACAATTTGGATGTATAAAAATCGTGGGGAAGAGCGACAAATTGCCACAGATCGCGATGAGAAACGGCCCGGAACCAAGCGAGTTTCAGCAATTCGCGTAAATCAGAATTAATACCGAGATAAATTTTAGTGAGAGAGCACTTTCAACGAATTCGGGACCGCAGACGCAGGGCCGTTGCCGTTCCGTCGACAGCCACCCATCAAAGTGGGCTCACTTCTATTTAGCTCTGGAATTTGCACCCACTTTGTTAGAAACTTCTCAGACAAAGGGACCGGCTTACTAATAAAATTCATTCGTGAATTATAGATATCTCTATAGGAGGCCGTTTTATGACGTCCTTCCAGTTTAGATTCGTTTAATTTCCGTGTCCTTTGTTACTCTTTGTGGAAAATGAACCATTAAAATACTTGGAAATTAGTCAGATTATGAGAAAAGCGTAAACAATACTCATTACAAGTAAAAGGAATAACAAGTCCTGTTTCGTTTCTGTTTGAGTATTCGAATGAATTTTATATAAAAAATTTCTTTTTCGACATTTTTCAGAGCACAAAAGCGACCGTTTTTCCTCTGTGACAAAACTCATTTTTCACGGCAATTAATAATTAGCGGAAGTCCAGAAGTTAGCGTCGGGAAAGAGACAAATTAATTGACTTAAATTAATTCCGGTTTACTTCACCAATTAAGGCCTAATTTGTAACTAAGTTTTCAGTTAAAAAAGACGGTTGACAGTAGAAAAATATTAATTACATATTTTAGATACTAAAATGCTACAAAAATTGTACCTATTATATTAAATTGGTACATAAATAATTTATTATTTAAATTGTACAAAATTAGGTGTATCTATCTATTTAGAAACACATAAATTAGCAATACAAGTTAAATTAGTAACATTTTGTTAAAAAAATCTATTAAGCACCTACTTACAAAGCAGTTAAGACAAGTTCCTGAAAATAAATGGGGTGAATAAATGGGGAAAAGAATGAATAGAAAATAATTGTTCTTTATCACGACAACGATACCCTTAAAAGTAATTATCATGCGTGTCTTATCTTCTACAATAATGAACTTAATAAAGTTGTTTATTTTAATAGAACCCCTCGCTGTAGCCATTAAGTACACTTTTTACATTACGTTAATGAAATTTATTAATCGCACCTTTGCCTTCTACCTGCGCACTTTTTGCACCCCTCCAACTATAAATATTGCAAATTCTTACATAACTCAGGGAACTTATGTTGCTTACATCATGTTGCCGGTAATAATTTTTGCATGATTTAAAGTAACGACCTTGTTTCAATAAATTATAAGGCGCAGGGTCGCTTCGTACAATTCGTTGTACTTCTGCTGGTAAATTGTATATACATATAATTTATCGTTAATTTGATTTTTATTTTTACATACGTCGTGCATTAAGTCAGACACATTAACGTTAATGCTTAATATCTCTTAAATGAAACTAAGAGAAAAAACCACGCAGATAATGAACTAATAAGTGGAGTATAATCGATACCAAAAATCAAATGAAATACAGGAAGCTCCCCAATTCTTATCGTTCTTCTAATTGTTTCAGTTCCGCCGGAAAAACTGAGCGTCTTGGACGAAAACGGAGTCCACATTCCGGATTACGTCTTGGGACCCTATAATGAAGGATCCTCCATCAATATAACATGTGTTGCTACAGGAGGTAAGATAATATAATAATCCTCTTCAGATCCTTCCGCAAATATCTACCTTATGTTTCATGTCGGAGCGATCCGTTTCGAGTGGGCCCGGAAATCAATCAGTTGTTAAGCCATCTTAACATACTACGAAAATTATACTTTGACGGTATTTAGTATAATTATTCGGAATGTTTAATTCAGATGTCTAATTACGCTTAATAGCTTGTGATTATTGTGACCTATTAGCAAATTACACTTAGAAATTTGTAGGCGTTCTACTCCTACACACATGGTAAAAGGGCTCGATGCTGTTACAAATATAAGTCGCTTCAACATCGATCCATTAGTTAATTATTTAATTTTATCATTATCCGATTGCAATATCGGCGTATTTCATTAGGCGAAAATTACTGGCTTAGATTAGCTATGAATAATTGGAACAGTTTCCTCTTGGCTATAAATATTGACGTTATATCAGAGAGGACGGTGCGAATTGAACTTGAATTTATTCGTGCTTTAATGATTTTATCACTTGGTTAACAGCACTTCTGATGGATTTATTAGCTTCAGATTAAAAGCGAGTTAAGTGCCAGAACGATGATTTTAATATCTACATTTCGAATTGGTAGATATATTTTTACGTTTTTTTATTGGCGGTTTAATATCGTTTCATTTTCACGATCAGTTTGTAGCAACACTTATTAATTTTTCATTAATAACAAAGCGTACATACAAACAAATAATGAGTTATTGAAATATTCAAATAAACGTTTATTAATTTTGGAGGTATAGGTAGTATAATAAAAAATTTACATATTTAGTTGAAATATGAAATATATTACAATTTTGAGCCTCTATTTTAAATAATAGATAATATTATATTCGGTATTTCACCTATGCAGGTCGACCTCCACCTAAAGTGACCTGGTGGCAAGAGAATGCCCTTTTAGACGACTCCTATGAATATCTATCGGAAAGAAGAGTCCGCAATATTCTTCACATCGATCGAATAGAGAGGAAGCATTTACACACTGCATTCACCTGCCAGGCCTCCAACAATCATTTGGTCGCGCCGATTTCCAGCTCAGTGACTTTGAACATCAACCGTAAGTCTTTTATTATTCCTCTTCAAGCGCATAAAATAAATAGACCAATCCCACAAAGCAAAATTTAAATACAAGAACAAAATACCTACTCGTTTACCGAATATCAACTTATTTGTTGCATCTTATTTTAAAGTTACCCTTGTTGAGGAAGTTTCGCCTCGATAATACATGTAATATGCGAGTTTGGCAAAAATTACTTCATCTCGACTTTATAACAAAAGAACAATAAAGTTGAAAATCGGTTTCAACTTTACATGATGCTAGAGTGATCAAGCAAGGTCTTGGCGTTGTTAAATAAAGTCTAGCTGGGAATTAAGTATTTTATGTTGAAAGTTTCGTTCGATATTTTAACTACCACCTTGTTTTTCGTACATCGCGCAGTGAAAATAAAATGAAATTTGTAAGGTATAAATTTTTTATACGGCTATTATTCGTGAATTCTAATATATAACTTTCTGTCTAATAATCCTCGTTCGTGGCAGTAGTACCCCATAAAGTTCGGTCAGTGCTTTTTACATTTCGAACAAAATATTTTTACCTCTTCTCACATCTTATTCCTTCTTACGGCTTTCATATCGTATTCGAAGTCATAAAGTGGATCCATTTTATCATTTTGATATAAAATTGTATAGTTGCATACTCTTTTGAAAATGAGTTTTTATTACGATTGTTATTTTCTTAGTACTTACAAATTTACTTACACTAAAATATGTATAAAAATATTTCATTTATAATTTATAATAATTTTATTTAAGATTCGGCCCAGTGACTGTAACGCTTGTGCTGAAAAAGTTGATGTCATTTCATGATGTGAACACCCAGGGGTTCATAATAACTTTATTAGTTGACCGAAAGGCATTTGGACAAATATTAAATTCCACACTGCCGTTTATTGAGCTTCGCGCCAAATAAACAATAGCAAAATAAAGAATAATGGGTGCCATAAATGTAACAATTAACAGTTGATTGCCGCATTTCTGCCTGCACGTACAAATGATAAACAATTGGCAAATTCCGTCTATACCGCAGCACCCTGTTTTGATTTTCATTAGGCATTCGATATTTGTACGTTAATTATCCAGCTTTTGCGTATCAATGTCACTTTATATACCCGGAAATTTTCACATTTTTTTTGCTCTTCAAATCCGCCCAAATTTATTTTATTAGCTCATAGTAATTATAAGTTACTACTATACTATGACGCCATAAAGACATTGAAACGCTCCTTAATCTAAAACACCTCCAACTTGACTCGACTCTACTCGAAGGATATAAACAATTCCGCACGGAATTCGTTCTAACAACGATACAACGATATCTTAAGGAGGTAACTCCCGGCACAATATACATGTCATTCTGTAATTGCACCGACTCCTGACTCTACTGGTCCCCCAGGACTTGTTAGATCACGAGCTCGCCTACCAATCATCGGAGCCGTGGTGCGGAATCACAGTCACGTTGCTTTATTCTCTAAGCACTCGCTTTCCGTCGTTTTGTGGTAAATGTTTTTTTTTGTCTACTTTAATATGAGCATTTTATCGATTATATTTTTCTAATCTTTCTAATTTTTCTGTAATAATAAAAAAAACTGGTCATAACGTTCATACGCATTTTCGTGAACAAGTATAAAATTAAATTTCATTCATTTGGTTAATTAAATATATATTTCATTATAAATCGATCGAATTCCAATAATGCGTATTTGCAAACGAAAATATAAGTAAATGTAAATAGAAGAAATGGTCATCAATTCATATTCGATAATATGACATGATTGGATTAAAATGGAATGGTCATGCGATTGCATTGTGACATATAATTTGCTGTTGTTTGAAACTATAAATTAGTTGGTATGCCAATTTTGCGGTGCATTTCATTTGCCTCTATTAGTTATTGAATTATACCATAATAGATGCGTGCTGGTGTGCCTGTGGTATTCTCAATTTAACATGAGAAATCTACTGACATAAAAATCAAATAATTACCTACATGTGTAATAAAATACTTTACTGTAGGTTCGTTAAGTAGAAAATAAATCAATAAATCGCTGTTCGAGCATATAATAATGATTAATAAAATTTAATTTAATCACATTTATCCACAATAAATACTCGCCGTACAACTAAATGAATTCATAAATATAAAATAGTTTGTCATTTATTGCCTTTAACTTTTAATTTAAACTACTTATTGAATCCAATTGTATTATTCACTTGTTAATATCTATTACTGAATGTTTGCATATAATTCTTTTGAATAAAATTTTATATGCTTAAATATTTCCAACCGATTATTATTTTATTTTGAGGACAATAATATGAGGCAATAAGTATCTATAATTTTATCTCTTACTTCTATGCCTTCCTGTTATGTTATTGAAGTTTTCGCAAATTTAAATAAAAATCTATTCCGAGTTTTTAAAAATCATAGCAGCAACCACTACTTTCAGGAGCTTTGCTTCAAGTTGAGTGGAAAAATAAACAGTTAAAGTTACATCCACGCAATTATCTTTCCGGTTTACTAAATTTAATGTACCATCGTCTTGAACGGTTATTAAAACTTTGAACAAGATTAAATTAAAAAAGTAGCATTCTTCTTTGGAAGTTTTTCCATACTTGAGCCCACGAAAACCCTAGAAGTTCATTTGTTCGGCCTAAATCTTATTTTTTACATGTACATCTCGTGGTTGACTCGAGTGCTTTGGAATCTTTGGACTCGAATATATCACGAACGAAATATTATTTTGGTATAAGCGATTTCGAAAAATAATCTATCGAGGTACATATAAATAATGTGAATATTTTACAAACGAAGCCACTAACAATTTTTGATGTGGCTTTATTGGAGTAAGCTCGTAAAAATGTATAATAAACAGTATGAATACTAACACGCCAGGATTATTTTAAATACCCGACAGGAATATTTATATATTAAAGAGCGTTGCGTGCAGCTATAAATCTTTTTCACAAAGAGGCGTGGGGTCAGTGATGAAGTTAAAATCCGGAAATGAACACAGAACTGCGGCAAACGCGGTACATTTTTTATCTCGTTTAAGCTCAGAAACTCGTGCACAAAAAATAACAACAAAGTTAACATTTTTTTATTTAGAGAAGATTAAAAAAGGCTCATGGCGAATTTACCGGAAGAGCGAACGATGATACCTTAATTATGATGAAAATTACATTCGAACAATTTAATAATGTAATGTATCAAAAAAGTTTCGTTTCACTCAAGACATTGATAAATTTGCGGTCATAGAAACAATAAATATTTGCTGTAATTTAATGAAATCATTGCGAATAGATTAGAAAGGCAATTTTCCGATTCAGATATTTTAATTGTGCGCGCGTTAGAGTTAAATAATGTCGAGCTCACAGGAACGAGTATATGCGCGCATTCACGCCCCAACAAAGGCCGATGTGACATTTACTTCGCTATCAGCATTTGGTTACAAAGACATTGCTAACAAAAGAGGGATTCCAGTTACCTATAAGCAGGAACGTATAAGCTGCGATATAAATCCTGCGTTAACAATACTGTGTTACCGACGAAATAACTAATTCCACGGTTTTCCTCTCGTCTTACCATTTAACTTATGAATTTATGGATTTAAGTGACCAAATTTCTCTATTCTACACTCGTACTCTTGGAGGTATGAATTAAATATCTAAATTTCATCGTAGTATAATTTTATCATTAATAACCGTAACCCTCTAGATATAAAAATAAAAGCGAAAAGGCGAATAAAGTTCGAAAGTGGATCGAATAATTTGATTTGTAGAACATTATTTCTGCATAAACAGAACTATGCAAATTTAGCTTAGAGCATCGGAAATTTCATAACGATGTGAAAATAATTATTTGAAAATGCGAATTTCTCTATATTGCAGCATCCAGCGAAAAGAATTATTCTGGTAAATGAATTCGCTTAAAAGGATTTTAATGTAGACCTCCGAGACTACCAGAAATTTATCGGACAAAGTGACCAAATACCTCGTTTTGCGAAATCTACGAGTTCAATTTATTTTAGAAAAAGTTGGGTGGTGTATAAATCGAGCTTGAGCGAGTAACTTTGTTCTTTGTTTTCGGAGATTAATGTTGGGTTTTTTATCTGATGGTCAACTATGAATAAATATCAAGGAAATAGGCTCTCCCACCAGAGACCATTGCGTCCTATAGATTCTATTTATTTCTGACAGGAAACAAAAGGATAACTTTCTGTTTATCTTTGTTAAAATTGAGGCTCTTACTTCTTGTTTAATTGTCGATATAGATAGATGACCTATTATGTTTTAGAACAACTTTAAATTCAAATGATCTAGTTAATCTATTTAATTCATCATAGTCAAGCTATTGCGCGGTATTTTAGAAGTAGTCAAGTTTTAATAGACTAAAAGCAGCATCTACGAATTAAGAGGATCGCGGATCAACACTTGTAAACGGATGATTTCGTTCCCGTCAACTCCGCTTTATTTGCTTCAAGTCAATACAAAGCTAATAAAAGTTTTATGGCACCAAGAAAACTCCGGCTTTATACGAAGATCCGGTTTTCCCCAACTTTATAATGGTATGCTGTCTAATTTCGGCTCGGGAAATTTAATTAACACACAACAAAAACAAAAGTTTTTTTCACTTACTCCAGTTTATCTGGCTTGCCATTCCGGAGTATAGTTCGTTAATGCTGATCTGTCGTGAAATAAAACTTCGTTATTGTGTTTACGCATTCAGTTTTATTTGTCAATAAATATAATGTATAATCTCCAGTAGGTTTTGTGTTGCAGCGCATCAGTGCAAAGACTAGCAGAAATAGTTTACTTTATTGACTATAAAAGCGTTCGGTTGATTAAATGAATTGCATGCTGCAATAATTATTTATAATCCGGGAGTAATTTAGGGTTTAATCAGCATTTACTTGAAGCATCAGTATGTAGATATTTATGTTATCCTGAAATTCAGACAGTAATCCTGATGTTGTAGAAACAATTTCACACAAGCAATCA